TAATAATTTGTGGCGGTAAATAAATCCCCGAAACGAATAGTTTTGTAAGTCCTCGACGTTGATGATGACCTCATTAGTTTTACTGGACATACACTAGCTGAAGGCGTTCAGTCAAGAGGGAGTGTGCCCTGTTATGCATCTCCTACAATCATTAGCGAGCTTTGACTAAACGCTTCCCGATATGCTGGTAGCCTTTCAAATATATCTTCGAACATCATCACTCCTGACTTCTGATTTGATTGAATCCGTATACTTCGATTATTAATGTATTACAGGTAAAGGCGCAGTCAAACTCCGACTACTTATGGCCTCCCTAAATGTGTCAATAAGTAGTAATTATTTATTCTTACTCTTACAAACCGGACTGGTTAAATCTATTTAGTCACATGGCAATTAAAAAACGCATCAGAGACACTTCAAACGTAGTTACCAGAATTTCGGCATTTACATGCTCAAGGGTTTCAATAATCCGATGATGAATATCATCAGGACTACCGAACATATCCTGTCTGAGATAATGAGGTATCCTTTGGAAGACCATTTGGTTAAGAACCACTGTTTCAGTTGTTGTTAGGTCATTCAATGCTATTCTTAGAAAAGTGTTGCTAAAACATTTTAGTAAAAATGTAGGTTTGTCAGCATTACCACTTGTCATAGGATTCTACTGTGCCTCAAGTGGGGAAATCCTGACACCTTTCCGAGTTCATATTTTCATGAATGGGAATGACCTTTTTGAAATACTTTCAAAGTCCATAACACATCGTTTTCCTGCAGGAATCTAGCCTTATTTGTCAACTCTTTCCATGCAGTCCTGGTCTGAACATAAGTGAATCAGAACTGAACAGCATCTGTAGAAGTAAATGCCATTTCTTTTCCCTGCGTCAAAGACGTTTCTTGACCCCTCTGGTTAGACTTGGAGAACAGTTATTAGGTCTATAAGCATGGTAACCAAGTTAATTATGCCTTTGAAGATAGACCAAGCCTCTTCAATTAATGGGCTAGCATCTAATATTCAGTCCACTGCTTCACCATAGCACTGGATAGCCGATAATTTTGCTCTGCAAATGTTTGGGAGAGGTCAAACGTGATCATAGACTATATTTTAAGCACTAAACTTAAGTGATAAAACGGTATGATCGCTATTAGGTAACGTAAATAATACAAAAACAGGAAATGTTATCGGTCAAGTAAAGGCTTACTAAATCTTACGATAAAGACTTTGGGTTTGAACCGAAACCAAGAAACACATGCTCAATTACAGTTATTAGGGTCCTACTAATAGATGTATTTTTGGGAAATAGCTGGGCAAATTATCAGACACTTATCACATCCACCTATCTACTTTTATTTTATAAGCACCGTCTTCAGGAAGACAAGTCCGAAGTTCAGATATACTTTTTAACTCTCATACGTCGAATCAAAGAATCAGACCTCGAAAATTTGGTTAAAAACGCTGACATCGCTACCATAATTTGAAAATCCCGTTTTTTAAGGTTAAGGCCTGGAGGATCGCTACGAAATTCCCTCAGTAATGGTTTTTATTGCCAAACTTAACACCCAATATCTTAATCACTAGCTAATATTAACCTTCCAACTTTGGTTTACAGTAGTGACGAAATGATAGTCTCATGAGATCTACTTTAAATAAGCGTTTTTAGTCACTGAAACGCATTAACGTTGCCTTGATACTTCAGGATTCTGAGAGGAAAAATTATGAGTTGGAATATTAGATGGATTTAACGAAGAGAACAGTCAAGTGTAATCTTCTTCTGTATCTTTGGGTTTAAAGAGAGCAAGAAACATACATTCTGAATCACGAGCTGTAATCGCACGCTCTTTTATCAGTAAGTTTCGCGGCCTACAACCTGAAACCTGTATGTTTTCAGGAAAATCGTATGTTTCTTATCTCAAAGTAATGTCCTTTTGAGTGTTGTTTGGTACAGAAACGTGATAATGTACAGGAGTGCAACATGATCATATAACAGACTAAATGTTCCAATACGATGAGTATCAAAAATGGAATCAATATTAGCTGGTTATGTATCGGGTTATCTATGGTCTGTTTTGACTAGGTTAATGGCGTAATATGACGTCAAGGTCAGCGCTTGGTGTATCGTGTTTGAAAATGTCAGCAGATGGTGCTCTTCATGAATTCCTAGCAAGAGAAAAAGAAGAATTGCGCGGGCTAGAAGACGACTTAGATTTTACACCAAACGGTTTGTACTACACTCAAAAACACCATATTATTTAGGTGAGAATAATGCTGCTGAACATCTTCAAGTAAACGAGGAACCGGAGTGCGTAAAACGTTGGGCCATAAGTTTTAAGAAGCGAATAGAGGTCAAAGACGATGCTGAACGTAAAAGCATGTTAATGCTGGAAGAACAAGGACTCAAAGTGATTTTCAACGTGTAGTTTAACCGTACTCTTTTTTATCTACGTAGTCGCTCATATCTCTAAATCCCTTCTTCATTTTGGACAGTTGTCTAATATGCAATCAGTATTAACTTTTTAAAAGAAACGAATGAATCAGGGTTACGCCCCCAAATTAGTTTGCTTGGTTTCTGGCAAGTATCACTATTGCTTCTCCCAACTCTACACGAAAGTTTTGTGTGATGAAATATGAAGCTGCACGTCGATCTTAACAGATTTCTCCCCCGGAAACGCCTAACTTGATTAACGACGTAATTAGGTCTCTCAATGTTTTGTAGCTATTTGTCCCACGTTCTTATAGAACTCTCACCATTTTATCCTGTGTGGCTTTCTGACTCACGTATCTCTATCCGTGTTTTGCTACTTTCAGTGCCTACAGAGCCACTACACCTTGCTCCCAAGTTCACGTCAGAAGTTAGAAACTAAAATAGTTAAACTGTAAAGGTATTATACATTGAACTTTCAAACCATATTATTCAAAAGTACTTTAATAACGTGAAAAATAATTTTCCAGTTATTTGATGCGACATCCAGAATACCAAAAGACACGTATGATAGGTAAACACTTGAGCCAATTTACTGGGGAATAGTTCTCACATGGCCTCAAGGTTTTCGACACAACCAGTCATTCCAAGCTTAAAACCATAGCAAGGAAACGGATAATCAAATATAAACTTCTACTTCTAGACTTATTCGATATCCCCAAATGATTTCTTGATGTTAGAGATTATACTAGTTGTATACAATAGTATTTTTAGACATATCGTTATTACTTAGTTTCAATAGTGCTGAAAACAGAAATTCCGTTTAATTAACAATCATATATTACGGACAAGTAATCTCGCAAGTGCTGATTTGTGTGACTTGATACTGTATCCTTCGACTTTACTCACATAAAGAGTTTAGGAATCACCCAAAAGGATGCTACAACCCAAGACTAGATACAGGAATATCTCACTTTAAGTCCCAGTTATTCACGACACCGTAGCCGAATCTCAACAAGACCAGGCATGTATAAAAAGTGGAAATACCAATGCTTGTAGACAAAGGAGAAAGGACAAACAAGCTCATATACGATGTAGAAGGTGTCTACCATGAAATTGATCGGCGGAAGCAAAGTCCCCTTCCATTTACTAATCTAAACACCACAGGCGTCTACCTATCAAATTACTGCGAGTCTATAATCTATAGGCGACCTTGAGAATGGCCGCCTACTTACTGCATTTAAATGTGGAATCAGGATTTACAGTTAGGCGTTAGGGTCTTCATCGCCAGCTATGACGCCAACATGCTATTTGGTCTCTAGTTGAGTAAATTTCGCGCTATAATCCAAAATCTGTCATCTTAAATCTGGTTAGTTCGTTCAAAAATTATAATTCCCTAAATAACATTAGATCCATACTTCTGATACTTAGTATACTTTGCACCTTTAGGGCTACATATATGTGAATTTGTCTCTAGTGTACACTGCTATCTTTGTTTATTTAAAAAGGATTTGCATGAGTGGGCACTTCAGTACCGCGATTCTCTTGCTCGAGGACAAAAACTCAGCCGCGCTCATGACAAAGAACTTCAAAGTGCTCGACAGAAAGCTGCAGAAGCATCAGCCAGAATGTCACAGGTAGACGCTGGCCAAGCTGTTTTATGGGAAAAAGTTTGCCAGTTGTGTAATTTCGTCACTTCTGGTAACGAAGAAACAACAAACGTTCACACCGTCCCGATAAATACAAAGGATAATCAGCGAGACTTGAACAGGATGCGTGTGCTCCTTCTGCAATTGAAGAAGAGTCCCCCCGCAATACAACCCAGAATCCGACCCCATTAATCTACAAGCTTACTTTTATTGAAGTGCAATATTATATTTAGAAACTGATCTTAAATAGCTTCATGTGACTACCAAGTATACATTCCAATTGTTATATAACCATCTTTATCTGTGTTTACAATTATATTCTTAGTAAAACTGACTTCCGAATTTCAATTTTTACAACGAACTTCACCGTCTCATAACTTCTGGTGACAGCGTGGAAATTCTATTAAAAAAGCGGTGTCATATGAAAGAGCTCTATACTCCCATTTTTAGGTTCGATTTGCTTAGTGCATTAGTATCTCGAGACGAACTAGTTACCTATTGATTCCAAGAATAACGTTTACGAAGTTTGTTTGAATACTTGGACCATGGATTAAGTTACTAGACCGCCAACGACACTTCTGTTATAAAAAGTACTATTCAGCCTGTAGTAAATAAAATAGTTTCTAAATAGTACTTAGTAAACGGGTTTAATGTAATACCGACTCACAGTTTGATTTAATGCGTGCTGCAGTAACAGTATGGACTTTTTGAAAGTGCTACTGTGTCAAACGTCATCTCAAAAGTGCAGCAGTGATCGTATGGTAAGACAGGAAACTCCATCCTCCGAAAAAATTCATCCGAGCCATGTGATGGAAATAGGTTAGTCTTCGTGCGTAATCGGGTGATACTCTTCCGATTCAGTTCACAAACACGTAAGTTTTAATATTTATCAGTAATTTATATTATTGGTAAAATCAATAAAAACTGACGGGAATCAGTCTTGTAGTTTATTATTGTCTATATCCATAGTCTCTTCCTTCTTAATTTCTTCACACTCATCGTTTTCATCAGTTTTAACCTCTGGCTTAGTTTCTTCACCAATCTCCTCATCTATTACTTTTACAGGCTCTACAAAGCTTGGATTAGGTATAGACTTATTCACGGCCCAGACCTAGTTAAAAGTAAAAAAAATATGATTGAAGTTTTAGTAAAAGATTCCTACATAGATTATAAATCACTTATTGAAAACATTTTCGTTTTTAAAAAATATGAAACGAATATTACTTACCTGAATAAGAGTTTCACTAAGAGGTATCATCTGTGGCAAGACTTCGCTAACATGCAAATCTTGTAGCTCGAACCATTTTCCAGTACCGCGATGTACTAAGTGGATACGATGCGTACCGGAGCCAGGAGTTGGGGGACCGTCATGCACAATATTGGCTACCAAGTCGTAAGTAGTATGCCTATTCAAGGTTCAGAGAAAGACAATCAATGCTAAGAACCTAGATTTTTTTTATATTGGGCTTGAAAAACAAAATTATTACGTTCATCTGAATAGATTTCCTAAACGAAGTTGAAATGGAGATACATATGGTTTATGCTCAGTCAGTCAGCTACAACGTAGGACCAGGCACATATATGCATCGGTCCAGGTTGCCATACCTCATTAGCACAGCAAGATGAACACCGGATTCATAGGAGTGGTTAGGTTAAATTTGGTAATATATAGGAGAAAGATTGCATATAAGGATATAGTATAGGAAGAAAGAATTAGTTAGTAGAAAGAAAGATATGAAGCAATTTTAATCTCTTAGTTTATGGGAAGACGGAGTGTATGCACCGACGCCATTGTAATCGATTCTGAGCCATGTCACCAAGAGTCTCCAATCATTGGTTACAATAGTCACGCAGACCCCAACCAAGTAGTCTGCATCTACCAACATGGCTCAGACTAGAGGTTAGTGTCTTCAAGCACTGATGCCACGTTTTGGTTTGGCCGCCCTTAACTTTCTTCCAACCATCCCCTACACCGGTTAGCATTGCACGTCGCGGTAATCGGTGTTCAGGCATACGTAACACGTGGCCCAACCATCTGAGTCGATGATAATTCACAACCTCATCAACTAATTTACCATCATTCCCTAATACCCTGCGTCTAACCTCACCATTACTTACCCGGTGATCCCAACAGACGCCAGCAATATTTCTAAGGCATCTGTGGTCAAATACTAGTAGCTTACGAGTGTCTTCTACTCTTAAAGGCCATGTTTCGCTGCCGTAGACAGTGATAAATTTATTGAATAATAAAGATCGAAAACGGAAGATGAATGTCACGAGTTTGTTGTTTTGGTATGCATCCAAAATTGTTTTATCCTGAGACAAAATGTATCAAGACAATAGTGTTTATGAAGAAACCAATCTTAATGATATTTATATGACTAAAGCTCAAAAACCAAACGGTTGTTGCTTTCTCTTACGTCACTATTCTAAAAACATGACAGGAACTATTACAACAAACTAAAGTTCCACGATTCAAATTGTAAAATGCTACTGGATTATACGTATATCATGTGAACAGATACCAACCATAAAGTCAAAGTGCTCCAAGTCTAGAAAATCAGTATGATTTTTAGTTTACTATCTCAATCTATATAGTCTTGTTAACATCTTTGCTCACTGAATTAACTGCAAACAGGGACCAGTGTTCAAGATCCTTTGACTTTGTACGAACAGCGTTTCTAAAGAACCTGAAGTCAAAAGTCTCATTGTAACGATAGATACACGGTAATCTGTTTAGCTTGATTTAAAGTACAACAACAAACACATGAGGTAAAAATCGATGGACTCTTTGAGTTAAGCGTTGGCAATGATTGTCGAAGATGCGATACGTAGTAGCAGTACAAACATACTTAAATTTAATAGAGTAATAAAAACCATTTTATCTGGAATAGCTATCATTGAGAGTGACGAGTTAATTGTAAACTTGAGGATGTTTGAAATAGCCCTTACAACATTGAGTAACATCAGTACATAGTTTTCTGAAGACGTTATACGTTTAAGTTATATTTGCTCAAATTTTGGCGAACATTCATATCGTCTTCTGAAAAGCTACAATCTACAGGTAATTAAAACAACAGAAGTTTCATCACCACAGCAGTAAATATCCCCGTTTTAAATTCTATGTTTACATATGAAGTTCGGACTCTTGTTGATAGTTGACCCACTACAGTTGGTTTGTGAAAACACATATAGTCAAGTGATTAAAAAGTAACGTTAGGTAAAACAGTTAAGCCTACCGATGTTTAGCTCGGAATTCTGGGGCCAACAATTCACCGAAATCAATACTTCTAATGGGGAAGTTAACTATCGTTGGATTCTTCTCCAATGTAAAGATGTTTTTAACAAACCTCTTCATGTATAGAATTAAGTAAGGAGGTAGTCGACGAAGCTCAAATCGACGCAACGTAGAATCACGATGAGTCTTGTATTCCTTTTCTGTAACGCCGTTAAATTTCGAAAGTAGTGTAGCTAATGAAACTTGTGGAATGATGTTTTCCTTAAATTCATCTAAATATAGTGGAGGTGGGGGTAAGTCACATGTAAGGTAGAAGAAATTTATGTCTGATATTGAAGTCTGGAAAAGAAGAAATACTGACAGGATTATCGAGAGTTGGATAATGCTAAGATATTGTGATGCGAAAAATGTAATTTCTCATAGTAAGGGGAAATTACCAGTAGCTTACGTATAAAAAGATACATGGTACAACCGACTTGTCTCAATTACTACTGGTATCTGGCATTTTATGTAAATTTTGTTGACAGCACATATGTTTGTTAGACAGTATTTTGGTCGCAGTCTTCAGAAAATCGTGGAAAAGTTGGTATGCTAAATATTTAAATGAGGGATCTTTTGTTGTCCGTTATGCATAAGATAGGTCATGGTCACGTTGATCACTAGCTCTTAAAAAGTGTACCAAGCTGTATTTCTGAAAGGAAGGCTTCTATTTCTGATCGCTAAATATCTGCAACCTTCTAGTCGTTAGGAAACTTTTGAACTATTGGAACTCAAGTCTCTGGACAAATACATAATGTTCTTGATTAAGTTTTGTTTTCTGAGATGGATGGTTTGGTCGTGAAGCCTTCGTTGTTCTTCTACACGACATCATCAGCAACAACGTCAAGTGGAAGTGAACTGTTCGAATTTCTCCACATATGACTCACAGCTTGTTCTGTACGCCTCTATGTTGATTGGTTTTTGTTGACCATTAACTTATCATTGTTTACTTCTTTGTTTTGATTGTACCTCCCATTTATTTGATTTCTGGCCCTATATTTGTTCATAATTTCCCTGATTGGTTGATAAATTGGATTGATTTCAATGTTTGGTGATTGACCTGAGTGCCAAGCTTCTAAAAGTTCTCTGGTGTTTTCAGAATTCCCTCTATCCAAGATCTCAATATTTTCCCAGTCGAATATATGTCCACATACATTGATATAAGTGAGGATATGTCATGGCGTTTGACCGCTAATTGATGTTCGTGCAGGCGAAGATGAAGGAAGGCGCCCACTTTGTCGGATAGACCTGTTAAATGGCTATGTAACAGTTATGAGTTGGTGAGACACGCTTAGAATACATATGTGTAGCTAGATAATCAAGTTCCTAGAAAAAGTTCCTGATAATTTACTACGAGAAAATGATTCAATGTAGATAATTTTCATAATAGATCACTAGGAAAATACTTCAAAGAACAGATTATTCTATTTGCTTTAAAACGTGCAATGGGCGGCTATAGCACAGATTGAGTCAGCTAACCCTGAAATTAATACAATTCATGAAGACTAATGAACACGTTGTTGGTACCATACCTCAAAGGGATAACCAACTGGATTTTCCAAAATAGTTAAACCTCTATATCCCACCGCTTATTCTTAGTGTTTAACTTAATTAAACGATATTAGAAGAGGTAGTTTGGTAATTATGTTGCATCATAAGATTCGTCAGCTTTTCAGACAAGCATCGATTTTACACACAGGAGCAATACTCTTCAAATATCTTTATTCTAAACACACATCTGTGCAGAGAATTATGACATCATAGCAAGAGTAATTTTCCTTCATAATTTTTCGCAGAGATGTGTAGATTTCTTTTTTTTCATAGTAATTTTCCTATTAATAAACAGTGAAAGCATTTCGTACAAGCAAAATAACAAATGGTCGTAAACTATTATTTATCTCTTCCGTCACTACTGCTCACAAACATCATGCAGACGCTTCATCGATATGATATCTGTAATCGTTAACCACCCTATTGGATGTCAGCCAGAATTAGTAATTATGCCTGAAACCTTTCACACAGATCAGTCATAATGAAAACCAGTTATACCATATTTAAACAAATACAATACCATGTATTCAGGGCTGTCTGCTAGAGAAGCCTTTTCTTCATCCGTCATGTTTACAGGCATGATTTTCCGACTGTACATTCTCATCTTTCCTCGTAAAGTTGATGAAACAATGCTTTTATAGGTTTTATTAACTGCGCCTCTGGGACAGGGGATTTTTTTAATCCTTAAAGCTTTATCTATTGCATTAACCAACCATGAAAGGAATTCAATGGCATCGCCTTGTTCAGTGATTTGGAAACGCTTTTTACTGCACAGCACAACTGCCTGTAGGAGAAAAAGAAAAAACGAGATATATAATTTTAAAAACATCCTAATTAAAACACAGTTGTATGAACTTGGTGTTTTCGTTTCTGTGAACTTTGCGTTATACTTCAGGGACTCATTGAGTGCCTTCAACGCAATGGGTTGATCACAAGACTTTGGTCGCTGAAAAACTCCCATTATATTAAAACATAATTGTACGTATGAACAGTTAAGATATTAAACCTGATAATGACCAAAACGTTATTAATACAAATAGAAATTTCGTAAATTCTCCACAAAACCCATTCTGATACAAATAGAAAAACTGAGGACTTTATCATTTGGTTAATTGGCAGTACCATTTACGAATTCTTAAAATAAGACAAAAGACAAGCCAAATGTAAAAATTTAATACACACTAAGAGATAAATATTGCGTGAAAAAGTAACTACCCTTTTCAAGATACTCAAACTTGTGTAGGAAGAGGCATCGTTCGACCTATGGTTAACTATTAAATTCAGTAATTGAAACTTGTGCATTTCAAACAACTAATCATAGCTATAAATCCTAGATGTTTCCAAGATCCTTAGTGAAAATGCATAATTCCGAAAGTCACAACAGGATCAATACTTATTAGGTAATTTAATGATAAAGCTTAGGACTGTTCGAAATCATTAAAAAATCAGTCGTTACGTTTATTCTGTGTACGGCTAAAAACCTGTTAGAATGTGGATGACACCGAAGAATATCATCATTGCTAAGAAAATAAAGAACTGTCTAAAAATCAGAAAACTGAAAGGGAGAAATAAACTTACCTGTAAGAATTCATGAGGTGAAACGTGGGTTTTGAAGTTTCGAGGATTCCACAATTTTCGAATAAGTTCACTAAATCTTTGAACCAAAAGCATCATTTGATCTCCAGAGAGAGAAGGTAGGTTCTCAAAGTTTTTGATATCTAAGAAATAATTTCGCAATGGACTGATATGACTGAGCATTTGTAATATCACGTTGCAATAATCATTAGCCTGAACAGAAAATAGAGGGTTATCGGTATCAAGGATTTGGTTGATTTATTTAATGATTTATTACTTCAATTGAAAAATCAACCTACCTTGATATTGTTGAGACCCACAACACCAGGATAATATGTAAGACCATTGTATGCTCTGACCATTTTCGAATAACTATCTAAAGCAAGTATTTCGGGAGTACTGAAAGTAGGATTCAGTAGGTAGGTAATGTCTTCCAATGACCCATCTAAAATTTCATAATCATCCGGCAAGCAATAAAACCGTCGAGTTTCTAAATTCAGGAAGACGTGGTGGCTTTCACTAACACTGTGGGTGTATGCATGAGTAGAATTTCCACGACCCTAAGATATAAAACATTTATGATAAGTATTTCCATTTATAACTGTGCGTTTTGAATTTAAGAAACGAAATGATTAGGTTAAATTTGATTGGTTGCGAATCCCAATGTGTTCAAATGCTATTCATTATGCGGAGCTGTTGGTTTAATTTACTTGAAGTGACGAATAAACTGTTTCATGCAATTCCACCATAATAAGACAAAACACCGTAACTTATTAAACACGCAAACGTTCATACACTAGACTTTGAACCACACTTTTGTGTGAGACTAATTGATGATACCCAAATACCCAACGTAAAGTGGGCAGAGGGAGGTTAGAATCGACGACCTATTGATTGAACGCCAAGTGCCTTAACGACTACGCAAGCATCTAATATAACCAACTTACCAAGCACAGGTAAATATAGCTTCGAGTCACAGTGTGAAGGCTAGTGCTATCACCAAGGTATCACACGGTCAATATCAACCAACAAGGTCGGTATCTCCAACACAACGGTGGCAAAAAGTGTGAAAACGTATTGTTGAAATATAAGTTACATTGGACGGATGAAAATCTTTCTATCTTCAGTCAATACACTCACAGTTAAAGCCTACCAGAATGCTCCACCAAGTATCTACGAACAAAAAATCTGTAGAACACTGACACACTATTAACTCAAATCTCTGTAGAATTCAAGTAAGGCAACAAATTCAGTTTATGCAAAAGTGAAGTGGTCGCAAACAGTGATACAATAAAGTTGATGGACAATCTTGAGATTGCCAGTCTAAATTCGGTAAGAAAAAACGGCATCAGGACGATAAGGAAATTTTTCAGAGTCAAGACTAAGGTTTTCGAAGTTGTTCGATTCTTAGCAGTCAAAAGCTAGATTATTTATCAAGAGCCAAGAAGATGCCCAAGAGATACCGTAGTTTTCATTTGCAAAACAAATAATACATATCTGAGTTGTTGGCGGGAACCATATACATTACTATTCATTATGAATAAACTTGGAATAAAATCACCTGAAAGTACTTTCCACAGATTAGACAGGCGTAGACATTCAGGTGAGATAAGGAAACGGAACACAGCTTTTCAAAGTCAAAATCCAGCATGTTCCTCCTAATAGTATCCAGGTATGGGCATGATCGGCTTCTGGTGTCTTCATTCTGATCATTGTAAACGGCTCCATTCCCAGTATACACTTGCTCTTCATCTGACTTATGAGAAGTAAAGAATTAAACACTGATGTACCTCTTCACTACGCTTGATCCTTTTTGAGGATTTTCTATGGGTTTTTTCATGCTTCCTTTTGTGTCCAGAAACTGAAGAAACAGAGTGAGGTACAAACGACAGTGAAGACATCCCGGTAACGCATAGGTTGACGCTCCCACTTCAATGTTCAGTTACTTCGTTACGAGCTAATTTCAATTTCAGTTTGAAAAGGGCAGGACGTACGAACACTGTATACAAAGTCAAAAACGTTTTAGCGTCAACATGACTAAAGGCGCTACGTATTGACCATAAAGTTCTAAAACCCTTAGCGACTACTTAACGGCAATGTGCAGTAGTCTTTAAGTCTTGGCTAACGATGACTACTAAGTCATTATATGTCTGGACGACAGTGTTATTCATTGTGTATGTATCTGCATATTGAAGACCGATATGCATCACAGTACACTTGGAAGTATCTATCAGCAACTGCCAGGTTTGACACCATTCGCATAATTTCTCCAGGTCCTTTTGGAGTTCTAAGCTATCACCCTTACTTCGTATCGCTCTCCATATCTTAACATCGTCAGAATATAGCAAGACCGATGATGACAGTATACGAGGGAGGTCATTTACATACGAGAGGAATAACACTGGCCCCAAAGCTGTACCCTGAGGCAATCCGCTATGAACAGTTTCTCAGCTAAACAACTTGAAGTTCACTAGTACTATTTGTTGGCGCCCAACTAGGAAGCTGTTTATCCACATCAATAGATTACCTCCAACATAGACATTTCTTAACTTACATAACAGTCAGTTGTGCGGAACTTTACCAAGAGCTCTACAGAAGTTAATACAGGCTACGTCTACAAGTAACTTTCAGTCCTTAAGAGCGCACCAGCTTTCACGAGCGACTTATAAGTTATTGAGACGAAAATAACATATTCTAAAACCAAGCTGCTTTTCCAAAAGGATCTGGTTTTCATCGAGATACCTAAAAAGCTCCTTCTGAATGATCTTTTCTAAAATTTTAACAATAACACACCAGTTAGGCTAACAGGTCTATAATTCTCCGGTTTATGTTTCGTACCTGTTTTGAAGACAGGAGTTACTATGACGTTCCTACAGTCTTTTGGTAAATGACCCTAGGTTACGGACAGATTGAAGCATATACTTGGAGTTAGCCAATTCCTTTAGTAACCTAGAATGCAGTTCATCGGACTCCGTGAATTTGACTATGTCAAGATTATTTAGCAGACCAAAGACATTGAGTTCTTTAATGGCCATGCTGTCAGGTGTGTGGGGGATGGACATGGACTGACGGGCAGATTTACATTTTATTATCTCAGATCACCTTAGAAATAAATTGCATACTTCTGGTTCATAAGTTTTCGTATTTGAAATGAAAGAACTAGTCTTCGATTGTATAAATTTGTAACTTCTGACTTTTCAAGACTCTGAGGTCTTTATTAATAATTACAGGAGTGATTGAAGAACAAAACTTCATACAGTATTCTTCACTAAAGTGAGAATAATAGAATTTTTCAAAGTCTCTTTTAAATAAGCGAGCGAATTTTCCTCCGTCGCTCTTAATGTTAATATTCCACTTTTATTGGACATGTGTCTATCTAATACAGTACATATGGTTGTTTACAGAAATATCTTTTATGTAGGCTAGTGAGCGAAACGACACGCTTCAGATATCTACACTTTGTTACAAATATAGATAGATTACATTCCTAGAAAGAAAGCATGGTAAGTGAGAAATGCAAAAGTGTTGGTCCTTCATCCAGCCAAAATCATTACATTCATATCTTTTTCTAGACTTCTCCTCCGTTATTTATACACACTGAGGGCTTGTGTTCATGCCTATCCAGACCTTATGAGTATGATTACCATACAATCTTTGTCTTCTAATTGTTGCCAGTCTAATAAAGTGTGAATTTTAGTCACTGAACGGAAATTATCCGAAGTGTACGGTGAAGAGTGGACGATTCTTCGAAAGAAACAAGGCAATTGACAATTTCAACTATTTTAGATTTATCTAATAAATCTGAAGGGTCCATGAAGACGATCCAGTTTATTACGGGCCAGTATATGTGAAATTTTAGATCATTTATAAAAAGCTTTATGTGAGATTTAATGGGAAAAAGTCCACCTCAAGGTTGCCGTCATACTGATATGATTGACAAGTTCCGAAAATCTACGGAACTCGATTCACGCAATTTTGTAGCAGTTTACTAAGACACTGATGAGACGGGATTGCAATTTCTTTTGTTCTCGGACTATACTTCTGCTCTGCTAAATATGGACATAACTCAAATTAGACCCTAGCGATTTTTTATGACACTAACTGACTTTCTACTTTCAATAATAACAGTACGAATATTGAAACCAATTTATAATACACATATCGTACAACTGCGACGACTTGGATTTATTGGTTAAGAGTCAGTCGCAAACCTCAGAACATTTAATCCCGGGTAACTATTCACTAACTTATTCTGTATAGGCACTAAACGTCCTATTATTTTATACTGAATGTTGAAAAATGTTGTGTTTGAAAAATATAACCTCATGCTCCAACTGTTCTATTCTACAGTCTAACTAAAGACCCGTTCACTATCAGTCCGGTTTCTCTTTTCAGTTGAACGAGGGGTACTCACTTGCAACAACCACTGTATTACAACTGCTCTTGCCACCAACCTAACGTTGCTTATATGAGGAACGCAATAATTTTCAACGCATTCTATTACGATAGGACTTTACGGAACTCTAAACAGTTATAAAGATGCCACTGATATTCGGAGTTTGATAATGTTTTCACCCGTAACAACCGAAACATGCCGACCGAATCAAATCAGAAGTCAGAAGTGATGAGGTTCGAAGATATATTTAAAATGCTATCAGTATATCGAGAAGCGTTTAGTCTAAGCTGGCTGATGGTTGTAGGAGATGCGTACCACGGCGTATTCACTCGTGACCTGGTTCGTATATGTGACCGAACGCCTTCAGCTAGTGTATTTCCAGTGAAACCAATGAGGTCAGCATCGATGTTTAAGACTTACAGAACTGTTTACTTTGGGATTTTGGTGGTGACCCTAAGACGTAACCAGCCATGCGTTTAAACCCAATGAGCCTGCCGTTGATAAACACCCTTCTGTGGCTTGCCATGTTCAGCAGTACCTGGTCGTCTTTACCTAATATAAAGAGAAGTATGGTGCCATATAGTAATTTAAAAAATTTATAAGTAAAATTTCTATTCTTCGTAATCTCCATCAGTTCTTCGTCTTTTTCAGCGATCGTGGGAAGGAAAAAATATGAATTTGTAAGTACATGTTGAAATGTATCCGTATGTCTTTATGGACACAAACCGTGAGAAAAAATGGGCATGCATCATATGGATAACATGCGATTGCGCAAAAATTCTTTTTCACGAGGACATTATTGTACTTTATGAAAATCAAAGCATACATATGTCACCGTATATGGCAAAAAAGGTGTTTGCTCTTTGACACAACAATACAAATAAACGCGACAAAATAAAATGTTATGTTGCGTCCTACTGAAAATAGTAGTGTGTTCTGGAAACCACATCATTATTACAGAGGACGGTGTTTTAGGCCTATTATTAGATGCTAGCGATGTCTCATCATGACTGTTGGTTATTGGGTGGGTTATCGTAAATGTGAGACTCATATTTACCCGTACAGGGAAAATCGACATTTTGGGTACACTTCTGAATAAGCAACTCTAGAATGGTCAATGCTGATGTTATCTTCAGTTCCGTTTTTACCGATGATATAGTGCTTAGGCTTGTAATGAAGGACTCTAAAAAGTCCTTTGCATGCAGTTTTGAGAGATTGTCTCAATAAATCGCGACGTACAAAAATATGTGCTCTATATAGTAAGGTAAGTTGGACGAAAGCATCAGTTGACTGAGGTCCGGTAAAAACACGTTTAGCTGAACGTATAGCGTTTGTTAGCCCGCTCGTGTAAGGGTTTAGGTCTATACTCACTGAAGAAGATGAAGGATTCACGAATTCCCCTGAGAGTTGGGGTGTCGTTCCATAAAGGGGTTGAGTTGCAGTGTATCCACCTTCTGCATTCAATGCATCGCGAATACCAGGTAAAACGAGTGGAAGAGCGTCAGCCCACTGTGAAACATTTGCAGCTTGGAGTGAAGCTTTAAGCTGTCGGTAAAAGTGCTCTTCTGGCCTGTTAGTTTGTGGGTGATAGGTAGTCATTCGGAATCGTATGACCTCTGTGTGTCTTCAGATAATGAAAAGTTCGGATTTGAACTGATATCGACGGTCTGTAGTGATAGTTGAAGTGCAGCGGAAGTTTGCTACGAATAGTTTTAATAAGGTACTGACCTCTGTTTCTGCAGTAATGTACTTGATAAGTAGTGCCTTTGACCATCGTGTGAAACGGTCTACACACGTTAAGAAATAATCGTATCCATCCTGATCTGTTATAGGCCTTACCAAACCAAGATGCGCGATTTCGCAAAGAGCATTAACATTTGTGACGTGACATAGGGGAAATTCGTTGTGTCTGATCACTTTAGATTACTGAAACTTCACATCGTATCTTGAACGCTCCCTCACGTCTTTAGTCATACGACTAACACGAAAAAAGCCAATCTAGAATGACCAATATGGTCGATCGAATACCTGGATGGAACAGATTGTGCAACGTATTGTCTGTAGACTGGCATGGTTCTTGTAAAAATAAATTGTCATATTGTAGACGTTATGTAGATAATGTTTAGGAACGACTGTTCAATATCAATCTGCAGATCTATCACACAGTAAAAATTTCTTCTCTGTTCCCATCTTTTTTGGTCCGTAGTTTCAGAGTTGTCAAAGATAACTCTTGCTGAAGTACAGTGTTACCGTTTTTCAGCTGAGTTAGTTAAGAAACGTTAATTTCTTGTAAACTGTCCAAGGAAGTTACAAGAGACAGAGCGTCTGCGACTACACCGTCTGTCCTAGAAATGTGTTGTTTTGTGGCGTGTGCTACGTATGTTGACATAAGTAGTATGTGACGCTAATCAAAACTAGAATATCTGGAAGCAGAAGATCGAGAAAAGAAGAATGGGAACAAAAAACAATTGGTATGGAAATGTGGGAACAATGAGGTCTGTGACA